CCTAAAAACATGATGATCTTTTGGCAGTTATGCATCATGCACTATGAGAAAAGCAGAACTACAAGACTACAGACCTATGTAGTAGGACTTCCCACACATCACAGGAGTTTTCTAAAACAATGAGGTTGCCTTTAAGCTCTCTCATGTATTTTGAGATGGGGAAGGGGAAATCTAAAAATAAAAGTACAACAAGAGCAGTCTAAATAGGTAGTGTCACAGGTACTTCCTCTTAAAGACCTAGATAAGACAGAGCCATCTTTCTTGTAGAAAATGATTTTTTAGTATGAATACTGTCTGTTTAAATACAGGCTTTCAAAAAACTCCCAAGCAATTCATCTTTAACAGGGTAACATAAGGACTGACTCTTTCTTTGTATTCTACTACTGTCTTCATTAGGCTTTCTGCCTGGATGCATAAACAAAGGTAGAAAACAAATCAAGGCAACATGTTGTTTGTTATATTTGAAGGTGAAAACGGGAAATATGTGTGTATGGTTATGCCTTCCCACCCACACATTTCTTTGAGATACACAACTAAACCAAATCTTCTTTTCTTCCAAAAATGAAATTATAGACAAAAGTGGTTTTTTCTCCCTGGTTTTTGATTTTATGAAAGATGAGATATTTGCTTATCTAGAAAGATGCTGAGTATCAGAATTTGTAAAATAAGCATATCAGAGGTGAATAATAGGGAAGGAAATGTATTTTTGCTTGACTTGGTAATCCTGTCTCTCCATGTGCCACCTCCCTTCCACCAGCTTCTCTAAATATTCATTCAATATAAACAAATACATCAATGATCATACTAGCTAACAGTTCCAGGCCTCCAAGTAAGGCTCCTATTGTATACAATTAAAAGGCTCAGGTAGAGTTTTTCTAGCAGAAATGAAAAAAAAAAATACAGCTAGTGAAGTTAAAAAAAAAAAAAAAAAAAAAAAAAGAGAGAGAGAAAAGAAGGGAAAACCCAACCAAATTCTGAAGTGCTTTTTCAGAATTGGAAAGCACTAAAACCTACTCAAGTCCTTTTTTAATGTCACCTTGAAAACAAGGAGATAACCAGGTAAACCCCTGACTGACTTTCTAAAGGTTGCACAGCACATCCTTCTACAAGTAAAGAACAGTCACTAATACCTAATCCTCTACTTTGAAAACAGTCAGTTGTGCAAGTAGTGCACATCCAGTCTTATGGATAGGTGTGTACAGGACACAGAGAGCTTTGACTCACAAAAAGCAAGCTGGCCACTGGTAGTTTGATCGGGAGTGATCCACTGTGTGACAGAATTGCCCACAGAAAAATCAGCTAAAATTTGAAAAATTACAAAAAATGGAAGAGTAAGAGAATGGACCTCTAGTCTAGATTTCTTTCATTTGTCTCCGAGAAAGCAGTAAATTTCAGATGCTAAAACTGAGAGCTGTTTGGTGTTCTTTTTCAAAGCATATATATTTTAAAGTGTCATAATATGTATTTTAAAGTTTCTCCATGATCTTGCGACTTACAGAAACAAATCTTGCATTTCCCCAGCCACTGTTTCATGCATCTTAACATACCCCAAATAGTTCAAGCTGTTTTAAAATTTGGCTAAAGGGTTCAAACTCTGCATGCTATAACATATAAATTGTTTTTGCAGAAATGCTGCTTTGTTTTTCCCCGTGATCTAGTAAGATATTATCACAACAGATGTCTCTGGCAGAAAGAGTGCATGCCGGGAGGTGGTAGGAAGGTTTTCTCCAAGGAAATGTCATCAGCATTCACAGAAAATTTTCACCTGTTCAAAACGAAAGTTTAATATCCCCTGTTTGTTTGAATTTAGCATCATGCTGTTAGTTATTAAGAAGAAGCCAGTCCAAATAAGATCATTTGTTGTTTGTTATAACTCATGATATGAAAGACCTCATGGGAACAGAAAAGAGGAGAAAGAAATCTTCTAAGAACAACAGAATTAGCAGATATTTCTATTTGAAAATTCAGATGAAAAGTGAATCCTCAATTTCTCTTTGTTGGTATTTATCAAAAGACAATTTTCTCCACAAATATTTAAACTTAATAATACAGTTTTGCACAACTACAGAATCCACACTATTCCTCTTCTGGCTGCTCACGTTCTTGTCACACTAAGTTAGGATTCCACCATCTCAAGCCTTTTTTGGATAAAATTCCTTAATTTTCAACTTACTTATACTACTCGTCTGATGATAAGAGAGAGTTTTCTATTAGTCATTCAGAAACCAAGGTCATCCTGAGCAAATTCTGCCCTCAAACAACGACAAAACAGAAGTGCAGAACAGCAAGAGCTGGCAGTAGATGGATAATAAGGGAATACCAAGTGGTGTATTCTGAATAATTACTGCTGAGAAGAATAAAACACAGGGAGAAAAATTTTAGTGTTATTATTTTGACAAGAGTCTAACAAATTGGTTATTGTGACTTTTAGTAGCTGTTGTTATTTAATAAGTTACCATTGTTAAACATTACAGTTTTTTTATCATTTATCAATTTACTACTGTTGAGTTGCCATCCATCTGCCAGCTTACTGCAAAAGGGGCATTTGATACAGCCTATATTGTACAAAGATAGCTGTTTTAGGAGAGGGAGCTCGGAACCAACAGAAGGGGATGCCCACTCAGGCTGTGCACACAGCTCAGCTCCATTCCAGCTCTCCAGAGTCCAGAGCATCTCTCCATCAGAAAGGCAAGGCCCGTTCCCAGCCTTTGGTCACAAGCATTTCTACTGCAGATCCACCATTATTCCAGCTTTGTCTGAGGAGCTGCTGCTCCATGAGGACAGGTGGCAGCTCTCTGTTGACCTTCTTGGTGTCTACTCAAAGTGAATCAAGGTGAAGAAGAGCCAGACAGGCACAAGTACAGGCACAGCTTATTACTAGAGCTTTATGAGTTAGTGGAGAAAGACATTTTTTAAGAAGTGGATTTCCCTTTATATCTTGATTCAGATGGTTTTCTCTTAATGAAACAAAGAGAAAGATAGAGAGGAAGAGTTTTTGAAAGTTTTGCATATGAATACTGTCTAGAAATGCTTAGGAAAGTCCCTAATAACTGGCATTGTTAGCGGGGGATTTTAACACATCCCACTGTCAAAATATTTTTTTAAGTGCCTCTTCTACATAAATGCATTTTTCCAGCTCCAAGAGAGGATATTTACTTCTTTTTGACTTTGCTAAATAGCTTTTGTTTGACTCCTTTAAACTCTTGCTGTGCTTGTATTCTGTCAGGCAGTGGTGAGGTGGGACTACACACTCCTCAAGCATTGTGTAGCTTGAAGTACACTTGAGCTTCAGATACCAACTTGTGGCATGGTCCTCATTTACTGGCCATGTGTGGGGAGGCAAACACTGGGACTGCTTTGGGCATGCACTGGTTGCAGTGTGGGCATGCATTTTATTAGTCCTAAAAAGACTTCAGAAACCTTAGAAACATTAGAAAGTTTAGTTTCCTTGCTAACAACACCGTGGCAGCCAAAGCTTCCTTAGAAGGGAACATTTTTTCCTCAGTTATATAAGAGTCCTATGTCTTTCACCTTAGTCTATATTAACCCTGAGGTTAGCTCAGTTGGTTAGAGCTGGGTGCTAGTAATGCCAAAATTCTAGGTTCAGTCCTTGGAGGGGCAACTCACTGAAGAGCTGGACTTGAAGAACCTTGTGGGTCCCTTCCAACTGAGAATATTCTGTGATACCTGGAACCACTGTATAACCAACACACAGTATTTAACACCAAGCAGCTCAAACCAAGCCTCCATGATCAAAACTACCATTTTTAATATAGTGTTTCTTTACCTTGTAACTGAAGTCAAAACATATTATGAATAAGTCTTTCAGATTACATAGATTTCATGCAAAAACACACAGGAAGCGTTTCGTAAAAAGCATTAGAAATAAATGTTCACTGCCATTGTAGTTGTTGGCATAAAGAAGCAGTGTGTTCACATCCTCGTTTCTAATACTGGCATGAGATATCAAAGGAAGATACAGCATCAATTTAAGTATGTATAAGCTTATTGTGTCACGTTCAGAGAAAGTTAGAATAAAAGAAGTTCTCAGTGGCAGGAAAATATCATGATAATAAAGACTAATCATAAAGAGGGGAAAACAGAAGTTCTAGAATCCAGTTCTAGAAACTGCACAGGAAAAGAAATTAACTGGATTAATTCTAATGAATGGCCAAAAACTGTATGAGCACTGAATGCAGGAGAATCTGAATTAATGATACTGGATGAAAGCCATGAAGGATACTGAGACAGTGATCACACAGTGATATCTGTGATGACAAATAGTGGTGACTGAATATATCATGATGAAAGAAGCTGTTTGAGAGTCCTCAATCATTCCAATTTGATAAACACGGCATAAACCAATATTAGTTCAAATTCTGCCCAGTCCTCAGTCACACATCAGCAATTCTGCACCTTATTTCTGGTGGTATAAAAATATAGACATTTTTCTGTTCTTTGGCTTGGGACAAGAGTTGCTTATTCCTTCATCTTAGGCACATCATTTTTTGAAAGAGAAAAATTGCTTATAGACTTCTTTAAGCCTTCTACTTTATGCTGAAGAAGCCTTTCTGTTGCATCATTACCATATCGATATGCTTGTGAACTTTTATTGGGAGAAGTGCTACAATGCTAACAGCAACAATCCTACTGAAAATCGAAGATGTAATAAAATCATGCTCAGAACAGGCTGACGGGAAAGCCCTTTCAAAACAGCTGTGGCAGCAGTGGAGCAATTTGATTTTCAAATAATATACACCTCAGAATTGTATCTTTCTAATCTCTGTAGAACGTCGTTAAGAATATTTTATGATGATGGCACTGACTGATGCTGCACTGCAAGGCTGAACCAGGGCTATCAAAGGCCAAAACCAGTAAGGGGAGCCTTTTCCACCTGCACCAGGCTGTAGCTCACAGACACTGAAGCACATTGCTTGTGATTTCCAGAGGGACACTCTGAATTCTGAATTTTTTAACATTGTATTTACTTGTGCTTGCAGGGCAAATATCATGGTAATCCCATGCATATAGCAGTGATCATCTCAAACTGCTTAAGAGAAGAAAGAAGAATATTGGCTGCAGCTAGCATGCCTGTACAGGTAATGAATTACATTTCATTAATCTTCTCCATGTTAATCTGCTCACATGCTTTTAAGACCAAATCCTGCCCTCTCATTCCACTGGAGTGATTTGTGTGCACCAGGGGTTGCCAAATGTTGCCCTTTAGACTCATGTTTGAACTTCATTAGTGGCTCTACTGCTGCAAACATTGCTGTAAGGGACTTCTTTATCACAGCTAATCTTCAAAGACTTTAATCTGTGGGAAAGGTTTTAAAGAGATTATTCTTTGCAAAACAGATGTGTGTATTTAAAATTATGCAATGCATTAATTCATATTAATTATGGAATGTAAAAGGTATTCCATCCAATATGTTGCAAAGGCATTGATAATTTTTATGTTGAAAAAAAAAAAAAGAAAAAACACTTTAAAACTTATTTTTGGGAAATTGTTACATATTTCAAACCCAGAGAGAATTTTCAAGTCAAACGTGTTCTTCTTAATTACCTGTGGATGTAATACATATTCCTATATGAGTCTTGAAACATGGGTCTTTTTCAGAAATCTAATAAAATCTATGTTTCAGTTTCTTTAATTCACTAGATGTTTAATGTCTGCAGTATACCTTTCACCTTTTGAATTTCAAAGTTAAAGCTTTCACATCTGTGGAACTAAACAGATCTGTGTGTTTACACCAGTCTCCAGCTGTTTGAATGCTGGCTTCTGAATTCCCTCTCTGTGCTAGAACTTCCAATACAGTTACTATGGCTCATTATTATTACTCATCCACCAGTTATCTGCTCAATGTTTTGCAGGGGCCACTGGAAAAGTCTCTGCAGAACTCTGTGGTTTCAGAACGTCAAAGAAACGTAGAACACAAAGTATCAGCCATCAAGAACAGCGCTCAGGTAGCTTTCTTTTTTTGTTGTCTGCTGTCTCTGCAAACATGATTTTCATACAGACGTACCTGAACTATCTTTAAGCTGGGTAGCACAAAGACTTCTGCCAACAAGATGCACTAACCATCTTCCATTATTCCAAGGGACATCTGCCCAGACTAAGCACACAGGACATACCTCAGGTGTTAACAGCTGCTCTGGGTTCAGTGTGAGACCTACCTATTTTTAAGCCATCACACTCACCCCTAGGCAAGTTGCAGGCAGACCACTGAGTGTAGTCAGAACATACCTACTGTCTCTAAAAAGATGTGAGGTTCATTAAATGTATTTCTGCAACTTCACTGCCTTTAGCTGGGTCAGCAGCAGCTAACCTTCATGACCTCTGAGTCACGTACCAAGACCTTTATAAAGCCGAAGGCTATGTGACATAATTACGTGGTTTGGGGATGTGAGGGGAGAAGAACATTGGGAGCTGATGGTAACCATTCTCCAGGAGTTTCTCATACCGTTGCAGGGCAGAGCTGGGCTGAGTCAAACCTGTAGCTATGTCCCACAGAGGTCTTGAAAGCTCAGCCAGAAAATACCTGTCTGCCCAGTTCAAGGCAGGATAAGGACTCAGATTACCCACGGCTTTTTTGCTGTCCCAGCCCCACTTTGAGCTTTTCAGCAGTCTCAATATAGGAATTATATTCAAAATGCCTGTCCATGTGTCATTCAAGAGCAACACTTCTGGTATACTGGAAAGAGGTCCCAGCATTACTCTATCATCAGTCTCCTTTTGTGGGGAAGTGTTAGAGCGATCAAACCCTTAAAAGGATAAAGCTAATTTTAGAAGAATGTAATACTAGATCTTTATCTAAGTATAAACTTGTAAGATTAGAATTGCAGAGCAAAAGCAGACAAAGCAGCAGCCTATCATGCTGCTCCTTCTGCCTGTGTGGGGAACTGCAGCCACCTCCGAAAGACCAGTGAAAATGAGAATGTATTCTAGATACTGGGGTTTTTTAGTAGGTAATTAAGTTGAACACAGAAATTAGCCAGCTCCTTGTATGTGTGATTTCACACCTTACACACATAATTTAAAACTTTAGTCTCCCAAATAAAGAGTAGACCAAAATGGCTAATTGTGTGTGTCCTAATTTAGCAAACAAGTTTTTGCATTTTCACAAACACTTAACATGCACATCTCAGGGAACTAAAAGGGATAGCTTAGGAGTTGTTGGCAAAATCGATATATACTATTTACTGTGCCATAAACAGCAGAGAAATAAACCTTCAAAGTAAAACAAATGATTTCCACATTTTTATTTTCCTTACTTATGTCCTTTTCTGAATTATCATTGATTGGTTTCTAGAAAACACCTTTCAAAGTGAACTCTTGAAAAATGCCAAAGCAGCAAAAATGGTTCATTTCTTTATCCAAATTCTTAAGTAATTTTGTAAATAAATTCTGTGAGCTCTGCTCCTGCCTCTGACTCTACCTTTTTTCGCTTTGCACACCCCATTGCAATTTCCATTTAAGTCAATGTAAATTATCCATTTGCCCTGCTTTGAAATTTCAAGAGAGTAACATTATTGGTATAATAATTTTAGTTGATCTCAGGCTAAACATAATCATTCCTACTTTCCAGTATGTTATTGAACTAGCGAACAAGAAGGAGTAAAGCTGTATCAACTACTGTTGACTGCAGGAGAGAGGAGAATACTTGACTTTCTAAACAAATAAAATAAAGCTGTAGTTATAAATGTGCATCTATAATTCGATCACCTTTTTTAAAGTTTACTAGATAGTAAGCCCAAGTTTCCAAAACTGTTCAGGGATTTTCAAATGACAGGAAAGTAAAAATACTACATTACACATTCTTTCATTTCTTTTCCCCGGGAAAGATGACTGACCAAGATGTGAAATACTTGGAAGACTTGCAAGAGGAATTTGACTTCAGGTATAAAACAATACAAAGCTTAGGTAAGAGTCATTACAATCATCTTTAGATCCTCTGGGAAATGGCCGATTCTGCAGCTGACTCCAACATCAGGGGGTTTCGCGTGTTACCCAAATAGTATATCTAAACATTAAAAAATGGATCTTCAGTTTGCATAAAGTTATAGTCCTGGAATTATGACTTTTGGGGTTAAGAGGGTGAGGAGGAACTTGTCAAGCAAATATCTATTTCTATAGATACGCTGCATAAGTGCATGAAAAGTAATAAATTCCTCAATTTAAAGAACCTATTTTTCAACTTCCTCACTTACGACATGGCCCTTCCTTGGCACCATGTGGAAGAGCCTCTTATTTCCCAAAGCAGAGTTGTGCAAAACTGATCTTTTTAGCCTCTAACTTGGCTTTCTTTTCTCTTTTGACCACAGTGGTGATAACCAGCTGGTAAGCACTCTGACTGCATGTTTGAGCAGCCTATGATGGTTGAGATCTACACATGGCAAGGGTGCTTGCATGATTTCTTTCAGAAAAGAAACTGGGGTCTGCTTGTGTCTGCTCAGATATCTTTATATTATCTTCCTTTTAACATGCAAATATGCTGGGCTTGAAATGTCTGAGTTCTTAAACACATCAATCCTAAATGTTTAAGGCTGTATATGGCCCAGCAACCATAAGAGACCAAGTTGCCATGCTTTAATGGGTTGTTAGTCATCAGGCCAATCATAATTATTGGCCACACAGATGATCGAAGCCTGCCCCACTTGCAAAATGATTTTGCAACCTGCTTACAAAACTGACTTTCAGGGCTTCAAATCTCACTATGTCACAACTGCTCTACACCAGCACAGCCAGCTTGCAACGTGTGTGAGCAATCACTATGGCTGAGCTGACTGTTGGTTACTTGTTTGACTCTACTGAAAAAGAGGGAAGGCATCAATCCAGAGCTTAGCAGAGACACAGTTGGCACCAATTTCTTTTTTGAATGTAGCTTGAAAGAGGAAGAGGTGGGGAAAGGTGAGGGTGGGAAAGAGATGCATATGAAAGAGCATGGGGTAAGCTTGGGGATGCTTAAAACTAGACCATGATCCAGAGGACACAAGTCAAAGAGAGGGGGAAATACCCAGTGACCAGTAGTCCTGTCTGCTGAAATCCCCATGGTGATGAACACATTATTTCAAATGGCTAACCTCCATTCTCTCAGCCAGACATTCTAATTCACACTGAGTCCAAAGAGCTTCAACCTCACTGATGACACCACGAGCATATTTGTGTGTACAAATCAATCACTGACCCAAGCCAGATGTACATAATAAACATGAGTATGCACGTGAATGAGAAATCTAGAGATTTCTAGGTCTCATCCATGTTTTTTCTGCCTTTTCCTGTTCCACATACACATATAAAGACTGGGGCCATAAAACCTTGCATTAAACTTGTTCTAAAGTTAGTTATTTCAAATGAAATGTGCAGTTACATGATCTACTGATGCAGTTAATTTTTTCACTAGTTCGTGCTGCAGTCTGACCATGGTTTTTTCCTCTCCTCCCCTTATAAACATGCACACACACCCATGCACATATTTATACTGATTTTTTTTTTCATCCCCTGCAGAGCAGAATGACAAAAACAGCACCCACATTAAACAGGAAATGTTGGTGTTGCAGGCAATGCTCAATACTTTAGACTACAAGAGAAAGGTTAGTGACAATGTTTTGTCATTTGTGGTTCATCTGCTTTCTCCCCTTATTTCCACACCAAATACTCAAATGTGTATGTGTGCCTTTTAAAAGTCTCATCTCAGAAGAACAGACAAATTACACAGGAGTTAAAAATCCACAAAATGTTTAGGTGAGTACGGGTGATTCTGACTAGCCATTAAGAAATTAGCAATTAAAGAACAGCTCAATAAGAAGGATATGGTTCTGCACACTTTATAAGTGAGGCAATTTGTTTGAGTTCATGGCTTTTTTTTTTTTTTTAACTGTTAAAGCAAGCAAACAGAAACCCAATGCACTGTATATGATGCAAAACAAAAGGAGAACTTTTTGAACTTGACAGTGCTTGCAAGTGTCAACATCTTGGAGGTGTTATGCCCACAAAGAATGTAACAAATCTTCTCTTTCACCCCCACCAAAAAAGAAGTTTTACTGAAAAAGAGTTCATAGAGATTTAGGATTAATTCCAAGTACAATGGGTGATGAATCCTGTCACTGACGAAGGAGGAACAAACTATGGTTACTTTCAAAATAATTGAAAAAAACATAATCAGCACTTTATGATGATTGCTGAAATTTGTGGCAGTTGCCTGTGGTCAATTTGTGACACCTTTCCTATCTTGCAGGAAGTACTCAGCAAAATAGGGCGTGTGATTCATGAAATCGATATGCTGATGAGCAACATGCTGACTGAAGAGCTGCTAGACTGGAAGAGACGGCAGCAGATTGCCTGCATTGGGGGTCCTCTCCATGGTGGGCTCGATCAGCTCCAGAACTGGTAAACCTGCCTCGAGCTTGTGTTTCCACTGAAAACCACAGGAAGTCTGCTGCACTTGAAATGATCAGTCTCCTCAGATCAGCTGCAACAGCAGCAAATTTATTAGCAGCTAAGCAAGAGAATAACTAAACATACAATTTGATCTGGTGGACAACATTTGCTATTCAGAATTAAGAACGTTACAGTGAACTGCTGAGCCTGACTTGTGGCAGCCACTCATTTTTGGGTTTGGCAGTTGTTCCAGATATATAATACAAACTCTCTTGGAGTTTTGCTTGAGTAAGAATGGTGCTGACTGAGTTTGTCATTGAGGACAGTGGAAGTTTTGTCTAGGCAGAAGCTGGGTAGAGACTTTATGCTTTGACTCACTAGGTACATCACCCCTCCAGATTTCAAACTATACAGGAATTGAATGGTAGTAGTCTGGGTGGTGGCAACTCTAAAGTGATTGCAAATAAAAAGGAAATAGCCAGAGAATGTCACCATCCTGGTCATTTCTCTCCCAACAAACTTCTCTTATGAAAGGGTGAAGTAAAAATTGAGAAGTAAAGAGGAAGGAAAACTGTTTTATGGTTTGAAGAAGAAAAAGATTTTTTGCCTTTTTGTGTGTGCATGTGTTTTTTGATTGGGTTTGGGTTTTTTTGAAGTATTTTTTTTTTCCAATGAAGATGTTAAAAATAGCTTAAAAGCATGATTTTATACACACATACCCTACTGAAATATTAGCAAAGGTGTTTGGATTTAGTTTTCCTTGCTGTTTTTACACTTATTCAGTCTTGGTAACTTGCTCATTTTACATAAATATTGTCCTTTCAAAGAATACATTTTGCAAAACTACTGAACTGTAGGAAAGAATTAATACTGGCACGAGTGCCCTGCATGTAAAACATCAGGACCTCATATATGCTTCTTCCAAATTGTCACAGACAGTGCTGCAAAAATATTTATATTTGAAAATAAAGTAGGTAATTTGCCAGGTGTATTAATATAGTCCTGTAAACAAAAGATGAACAGATGTGAGTTTGGGTAAAGCTAGAAAGCACTAATCAATACTGATTCTGGCTTCCCCAAGCAAGAACTTCACTAGTTCTTATGTTCTAAGGAATGGTTTGCACGAAAGATTGCAAATTAATTCTCTGTCTTGCTGTAGTTTTACGCTGTTGGCAGAGAGCCTCTTTCAAGTTAGAAGGCAACTGGAAAAACTGGACGAACTGTTGACCAGACTGACTTATGATGGGGACCCTATTCCTGTGCAGAGACCTCAGCTGTTGGAAAAAGTCAACTTTCTGCTCTACAATCTTTTCCGGAAGTGCGTAAGCCATTGTCGGTGTATGGAATGTTACCTCAACTGCTACAACCAATGAGGCCATAATGTTAAGAATTAAAACAAAAAAAGTTTGAGTGTCTGAGGAACTTAATGACCAAGTTCCTAATATAAGAAGCACACAAAGCTGTCATCAAAACTCCTAGAAACTTGAGGTGCCAGACAGCTTCTTGTGGGTAACAGTTAAGTGTGATCGAGTTCTGGCTGTAAGTGAATGCCAGAAATCCACTTATTTTAGTTACTCACATTCTGCTGAGAAAAGTCATGGTGTTTTGGGTTTGTTCTTTTGTTTTGTTTGGGGTTTTTTGTTTTGTTTTGGTGATTTTTTTGTGTGTTTTTTTCGTTTTGTTTTTTTTAAAATAAGTGTTCCTTGTCTTTCCTCTTCCCCACCAAGATACTCTCCCTGCTCCCCTCCCAATTTACCCTTCTATTAACAGAGAAAATATTATCATCATTTATCTTGCCTTTTGTACTGGCTATACCACAGATATGCTACAAGTGACTATCTGAAAACAAAACATACTCATTTGTTTTATATATATATATATTAAAAAAGATTAAATTATTAATTTCATTGGAGCCATGCTCAATGCATTTTCATACCCTGTTTTATGGTTCTGATAAAAGTTTGGAAGACCAAGACTTTTATCAGCCTCGTATTTTAGGACTATAGAATTTGGTTTGATTTTCAGTGTGTTCCAAATATCTGTTTTCTTATGAGAACAATTCAACTGTAAGCTGGATCATTTTGAGAACTCAAAGTTGGAATACATAGCTCCTACTTCAGCACCTGTAGAGAAATAAGTCTTTAAGAGATTCCAGCCCCCTTTCCCCAACCGCTAAAACAGCTCTTTGTTTATACACATTCCTAAAAATCTATTGGTTTGGCTTTTTTTTCACACAGTTCATTTGTGGTTGAAAGGCAACCCTGCATGCCAACACATCCCCAGAGGCCACTGGTTCTTAAAACATTAATACAGTTCACTGTTAAATTAAGGTAAGTTTAGAAAATCTGATACAAACTCACTTGTGTACAGCATTTTATCCTAGGAGAATCTAGAAAGAAAAGCAGCCCAACTTGTGTTAGGGATCCTCTTAACTCTAGGGAGGTTTTCTGGAATGGGGATATAAATTCCACAGAATCTGCCACACGGAACAAGTGGCAAAAAAGAGTAAAACAGGGTGAAGAAGAAAGGCAGACTGTGGCCAAAAGTCAGCATATTTGGGGTTCTGTATGTATCGAATTCTTGTTTAAATGACTTTACAAACTGAGCAAATAACGATCCACATCATACAAGCTGACATCAGAATGCTCACAGCCACTTCTGTACAGAGGAAAGAAAAACTACTCCATTTTGGGGGGCTCTGATGAATCAATGACAAGTTATTCTCTCCCACTAGCCCCTTGCCTGACTTTGTGAAAGAGCAAAGATCCAAGAGGAACTCTTATCTCATTTCCATCTCACAGCAAAAATCATGTATGAAGATGGGAGGGGGAGGGGGAGGGGTGTAAAAAAGGGTACATGGAGGAAACTACATCTGTGGTGCAGTCAGGGATTATACAAATCCATCCCTTAATTATTGTTTCTTTGGTGTCTATCCAGCCATCTCCTCAAACACAAACTGAATTTCCCACATACTTGCAGGGAAAGTAGAACACCTGTCACTGGAACAGCCCAGCTCCTCTTTCTGAGTATTCAACCCTGTAAACTGTGTTCTAATCCTAGATGCCTGATCTGTTTTCAGGTTATAATAATTTCTGATACTCTAGTCTGGAACTATCAGTCTCTAATGTTTTCTGGTGAGAAATTAATTCCGTCAATATTCAATTTTGCTTTTTCTGTTTTGAAGGTTGCTAATTAAATTGCCAGAGCTGAACTACCAGATCAGAGTGAAAGTAACTATTGACAAGTAAGAAACTTTAAAGTGAAGATATTTTCTCTCCCTACAGATACAACACAAGGTTTTTTTCAATGGCTACCTTATCTGATTTAAAAGTTGCTCTAAAAAGGAAAAGAAAAAAAACACCAACAAAAACTCCCAAACCAAAACAAAGCAAAAAACCCAAACAGTTAAAGATCAGAAGATCTTTTCTTCTCTTTCTTCTTTTTTTTTTTTTAATGTGGAATATTTCTTTTAAAAAAAAAAAAAGCTGTTAAGTCTAATTGATATTTTCAAATTAGAGGTAAGGAGTCCATTTAAGATTTGTCTCAAGATTTAGATAAAGGTCATCAATCTGATACAGCAACATCACACATAAACTTAAAATCAAACTGCATTGCATTTATGGGATAATTAGCTTTGAAATACCACTTATCTCCAAGACTTCACCACACACTGGTCCCAGCTACCCCCTTCTTCTACCTGTTGTGCTTCTACAAGCCCCTAAAAAACACCTTGACTGCATGGACGTGGATGTTGGCCCACAAGAAAGAAGGAAAACACTCCCAGTGAGGAAGGAGCAGGAGAGAAGTAAGGACTGCTTCTCTCAAAAGCCATGTACTGTCTGACAATAAATAGCAACATAAAATATACAGATTCAAAAGTCTAACTGGACAGGATGAATATCAGTTCTTCAGTTTAAAAACTGAAGTTGTATTGGTAATACAAACAAACTCTGACAAGGCAAAAATCTACCATCTCAAGGTATGTTTTTTAGTATAAGTTACGGCTTACACATTTACTGATTCACAATCTTTTTCCTCCCCCTTGCCCCTCTTCTGTTTTAGGAATGTTTCAACTGTAAGGTAAGACGATAAAATATCATATATCTTAAATTTTTCCCACATGGCAGTATTTGTATACATAAGTGCGATGTCTTCCACAGCAATCGTAGATTTGTTCTGTGTGGAACACATGTAAAAGCAATGAACATGGATGAGTCTGCAAATGGAAGCTTGTCTGTAGAATTTCGACATTTGGTAAGCTTGACTGCTCTTTTGCTGTTGTATACTCCTGGTAAAGAAATAAAGGATTCTTTGGAAACTATGGATGGGGAACTCTGTTACTGTCAAGCCTACACTCATTTTCTTTCTGTTTATACAGAAAGTTTACTCCTAGAACCTCTTTATGCCATTCCATACTTCATCCATTTGATAAAATAAGACTATATATTTTGACAGAAATGGCAAAGCAAATTCTAGGCAACACCAGAGAAGGGAAAGACTAATCATGCTGAGTTACACAGCTTTTCAGAAACTGAGTTTGGTTAAAAAAAAACAAAACCAAAACACCAAACCCAAACCAAAAACAACAACCCCCCCCCCCCAAAAAAAAATACTGAAAAAAAACCCCTAAACCCAAACCAAAAAACCCAACACACAAAACAAACAAACAAGAAACCCAAACCACACCACCATTGTCTAGGGGAAATAGAATTGAATGCTTTATATCTAGTGGAAATTAATGCCTGTTACAACTGTCTTTTGAAAGACTACAGTAGTGCTTATATAACTTTTTGTAACAGCCCAAGGAGTCCTACTTTCTGACTAGATATTTCTGACTGATATTTCTGGGGCTTAACCACAGTGCCTCAGAGCAGTTTTGCAAAAAGAGATTGAGATGGATGGTCTTTAGTGCTTTTTTGTATTATACACTTCACAATCATCTTAATTAATGCTTCCTTAAATTGAGTTCATTTCTGTAAAAAATCTTGAAAAATGTCAAAAGATTCCTCACTGAATAGAATTTGAGGTATAGTGTCAGAGCCTTCATTACAGTGTATTTGTATATTGCAAATAAAACCTCCTTATAATAAGAGCATTCTGGTTACAAATGAATTTCTGTATATGTACTTTTCTCTATAATTTTTCTGACACATAAATATTGTTTTGTTTTATACAGCAACCCAAAGAAATGAAAACAAGCTCTGGAAGTAAAGGAAATGAGGTTTGTGCATTTATTTTGCATGTTGGTTTTGACTACTCTCACAAGTGTTTCAGATATGGTTTTATTTAAATCAGAGGGTTGTAAGATTTTGAAATATAGTCTATTCTTACCATAAGTACAGGACCCAATTATCATATGCTAGTATAAGTATGATGAGAACAGTTCAGAACAATTCATAGAAATTTTAATTTTATGCCTTAAATCTGTATATTTAAAGAGTTACAATAGAAGGTGATAAGTAGTAATCCGAATGTATGCATTCCTCTCTAAGGTCACCTTTGTGGTCATTCACATTTTGAGAAAAACCCAAGCTTTTAAAGTTTTTTGTTGAAATAATTTTTCCTATAGGGAACGGTTCTTTAAATATATGCTCCGTTGGCCAAGTTCACAGCTAAAGTAAGGGTGTGATTATTTTTTCATCAGAGGAGTTTGCTTGCCTCAGCCAGGACCAAAAGAGTACTTAGTTTACCAACACTCGTCCCAGCCCGGCTGTAGGTTCCCCTCTCGTGGTGACACCGTATATAGCAAGTCAGCCCTAACGAAAGGTATCACAACGGGTTACTCACTAGCAGAGGAGCATAAAATCCCTACATCCTTGCCTTGTGGAGAACAGAAGCCAAAAATATTAACTAAATTAATTAACATCGGCTCTAAGCCCAGCCCAGGACACCGTGCCCCTGCATTCACCTGTAGCACAGAGCCCTCCTTCCATGCCTGTGCTACTCTCCAGCATCCCTCACGTGCAGATCCTCTGCTTCTTCCCCTGCCCAGCTTCTCACCCCTTCCCCTTCCTCACCCCCTTCACAGCTCTATCCTACATCCATTTCAGCTCTGGTTTCTTACAAACTGTGATTCCCCTGAGTGCCCTAGATGTTACAGACAAAGGCAGAATCTCAGGCAAGAAAATTACTGCCTTCACCCATCCACCTTCTGCGCCTCTGGCAGGGGAGAAGGCAGGGTGTCCTCATCCAGCCACTGGAGGCAGTAGGCAGTGTGAGGAAAGGCAGGAATTCACACAAACTCCAGGGTGGCCATGGACCATCACCATAAATTTGGCATGGCTATTTAACAGCAAATATCTGCAAATATATCTGTGACTGAAGCAAGAGTCAAAAGCTTGCAGCCAATGAGTCAGTCTCTGCCAGTGCTACCAGAACAATTACTGTCTCCAAGGTAATTAAATCATAAGATGCTTCTATGAACACCGCCTATAAAGCTAAATAACCTTCACTGGTTTAATGCATTTCCACATCAGTGTAACTGAGGGTAAAGTTGAATTGGCAAGTTAAAAAAAAAAAAGTTAAAAAAAAAAAAGTTAAGTTAAAAAAAAAAATCACGCATATTAAAGCCCAAATAGCTGTAGTTACACAAACACAACAGTTACTTCAAGTAGTCTTTAAGTACTATGCAAAGGTGTGATCAGCATGGAGAATTTCACCAAAACCTAAAGCAGATGATACCTGTGCCCATTTCACCCAGTGTTTCTGAAGGGAGTAACTCACAACCAGATTAGCAAAACTGAAACTCAAGGTTTACCCCCCAGTTACTTTACAACTTACAAAGTCATTTACATCAAGACAAGCAAAGGCAAAAATATAGGTTAAAAAATGTTGGTGCTCTACTTTTGGTAGCATTTTACTCCCACTTTCACACACTCTGTGTGCCTTTAAAACAGTATAAAGCATAGGGCTGTGGAGAATTAGGACAGCTGAGCTGTGACCTGGTTCACTGCTGATTTCCTCAAACAGAGCTTCTCCTTGGTCCAGTCAGTCTGTGGAGTGATTATTACATGAACGTGGTTGGCCTGTACATGAACAGGTTTTGTTTACTAACAACAACTATAACAATTTTAAGACTTTATTATAGGATGAGTACACTAGAAGTGTAGTTAAATATAACTTGCCTCATTAAAAAATAAAAAAAAAGTGAAAGTTCTCTAATTTAGATTTGTCCTTTCGTGTAGATTTATCTTTTTGCACAGATGATTTTTCCAGGAGAAAAAATCAAGTTTCTGCAAAATTGTAATAGGATCGGGGGGAGGTGTAGGGGAAGAAGGGGAGTTTCATCAACCCTCTTCAACTTTGTGTCAGCAGGACAGGTTGAGCTGGATTGATTCTACCTGTACTAAAACATTTGAGCTCATTGAGATGGATGAGTATTCCATGTAAAAGCCTTCAGCCCTAAGCTGGATTTTCCCCTCTACAAGGCAGATTCATTATTCAGATGCCTGAGGATCTCCTATGGTCTCAATCCCTCATTTATTCAGTATCTTTTGTTGCAGTGGCCTGCACATGTCCTGGAGGAGATGCTCCATGGGAAAGATAAGGCCATGAGGCACTCTGTCAAGGAATAGTTCTATTTTGCATTGACTGAAAGCAGAGTATTTCAGTAAATGGAAGCATTTTGATTTGCAATTTCTTTTTTTTTTTTAAAGGAAACTCTGACAAAACAAACACATGATGGGTAGGGAAAGAACAACAACAAAGAAAAGAAGGACAAAAATAGTTTTATACTTGGAGTTCTGGGGATGGAAATGTATTTCGAAAGATCTGTTTCCTAAGGGGCAGAGATTTGGGCCTTTACAGAGCTATGCTGGTTTGTAATCAAAACAAACGCTCGTACTACAAACTTTAATCAACAGCGACACAGATTTTTTTCCCGTCCAAGGAAAGCTTGGGGGGTTTAATACCAGATTTACTTAGGATTAATGATTTAGACCTCTACTCCTTTAACTAGTATCATCTAAGTATACACAACAAACCTCTGTTCCCGGATGAAGGTCTACTTGTCCTTAAAGATGTGGCTTTTTGTTTTGTTTCTAGTTTGTTTCTCCTTGAAGTTTAATATCTCTGTTTAAAGTAGAATTGTCAATCAGTAAAGAACCTTTAGGAAAAGGAAAGCTGGAGACAATCTCTATCAGACACAGAAAATTATCTGTTAACTTTTTGTGTGTAAATCTGTGGTTAAAAAATACCATTTTAGAAAAAGTTAAAAGTTTAAAGGTATTACTTTAACAATATTAAGGGGTTTTTTTAGATGCTTTAGTGAAAAACTCTCAGACTTCTGGACTAATTTAACGTCAGAGTTTAACAAAAAAAATTATTTCCTTCACTTCCTTCTTTTCCTGTTGCACTGATATCTTTGATATGTGTTTTCTTTCCAAGTGTAATCTCAGCAGCTGGGTCACTGAAACAGTGTTAAAAGCCAACTGTGTACTCACAGCTCTATAACCTCCTTACTCCCTCAGGGCTCCCACATGGTGACCGAGGAACTGCACTCCATCAGCTTTGAAACACAGGTCTGCCTGTATGGATTGACTATAAATTTGGAAGTGAGTATTCTAGACAGATTTTCTGGGTCAAGAGTAAAAGGCACTTTCCAGCAGTTTGTAGAAGAACAACCATGCTGGGCCAGACCACAGGTCTGTCTATCCTAGATGTATCTCCAGAGGTAACCACAAGCAGATGCGAGACTTCCAGAACTTCTGGAAAAGAAGTGTAAGCTTTGGGAAGGAAGAGGGGGCTTAAAAAAAACCAAAAGCATTACACAACATTAACACTTTCCTCAGCAGCATTTACATACTGCATTCATTCTTTCCCCCAGACCAGCTCTTTGCCTGTGGTGATGATTTCCAACGTCAGCCAACTGCCCAATGCGTGGGCTTCTATTATTTGGTACAACCTGTCAACCAATGATCCTCAGGTAGGTCTTCAGTATTCAAGTACTGACTTTCTGCATTTTCACTTTTCTTTGGTTATCAAATACATTAATTATAAAAAATATGCATTTTCCTCTTAAACTGGCCTTATTTTCTTCATATACACCGTTATCAATATCATACTTTAATGCTGTTCTCTTTGTCTTTTGTTCCCTGCCTGGATATAAAACTAAACACAGCCTTAGCTTTCCTTTTTGTATGCTAGAGTAGTAGTTCTTAAACTAAGGAAAGGTGACAGCCCCTCTCCACATCTTCTCTACTTTGAATCTATCTCTTTTGAGTGCAGATGATCAAAACTAGACCTGTTACAAAATAATTCCACTAATACAATTCAAAACCATCAATGGGTAATCATATGGGTGGGTCTATAATGTACTTAAGTGCTGCTTTCCCTCACACATTTTATAGGGGTTTGTAATTTCTGCGGAGAAGATTATAAATGTTAAGTAGCAACTTCTAGTGGCTGTAACCCTGAGCCAAAGCAGAATCATTCTTTCTTCTCAGTCTCCATCTGTCTCAGCACATATTTTAAATTCAGTCACTGTACTTGCAGATTGTAGAATAGTGCTGTCAATAGCTGTCAGGCTTTCAGTTGGGGATTAGTGGCAGTCACATAGATGTTTGGAAGAGGGAAAGGGTCAGACAGTTTACCATGGAGAGGGCCTAAGAATGATGGCAGGCTGGACTGCATTATCACTCTGTGATACAGCAGAGTTTTTGCACAGTTTTCAGTATGTTCATTATGTGCACTGTCCAGAAACCAAGTGAAAAACTAAGATAAGCCAAATGATTCAATAACATCTCTGTATTGGTATGTAATGGTTTGAGGTTTCCATGTACCAAACACTAAAATATAGTGAGAACTTCTACATCTTTTGACAGAATTTAAGAATATTTTCATTATCTTTACACATGACACTACCAGAAGCATAGCAAGTATTTTATCATCAAAGATGCACACAAGGACTCTCACCCTACACCTCTGCTCGGGCACCCAAGGGAACTTTGCTGGTGGGAGGGCCCTCACATATTTGTCCCAATGTTTCCCACATGGACAGAGTTCACTTCTAACACTTTCAGATTCTGTTCAAGTACCTGCAGCCTCCTTTTACAGCCTGCAATGTATTTCATGGTTGCTAACTGTCTAAACAAAGCACTAATTCTGTTGCAGAATTTGTCTTTCTTCAACAACCCCCCTACTGCCACTTTAAGCCAGCTCTTAGAAGTCCTGAGCTGGCAATTTTCATCCTATGTCGGTCGTGGACTCAATTCTGAACAGCTCAACATGCTGGCAGAGAAACTCATGGGTAAGTGTGTATAAATACACAGCTTTTGTTTTCTTTTTGGCTCTTATATTTAGTAGTTACAAGTAATGACTAAGCCCTTGTCATGGTTTAACTCCAGCTGGTAACTAAGCCCCACACGGCCACTTACTCACCCACAGTGGGATGGGGAGAGAATTAGAAGAGTGAGAAAACTCAAGGGTCAAGGTAAAACAGTGTAACAGGTAAAGCAAAAGCCACACGTGAATGCAAGGCAAAACAAGGAATTAATTCACTACTTCCCATCAGTAGGCAGGTGTTCAGTCTGGAAATCAGGGCTGAATCCATCTCACATTAACAGTTACTTGGGAAGAGAGATACCATCACCCCAAACATCCCCTCCTTTCTCCTTATTCCCCCCAGTTTACTTGCTGAGCATGTCACCATATGCTGCAGAACATTCTTTTTGACCAGTTAGGATCAGCTGTCCCAGCTGTGTTCTCTCCTCACTTCTTGGCACTCCCAGCCTACTCACCGGTGGGGTGAGAAGCAGAACAGGCCATGGTTCTGTGTAAGCGCTGCTCAGCAAGCACTAAACCATCCCTGTATAACCAACACTGTTTCCAGCACAAATCCAAAACACATTAGCTTACTGTAAAGAAAACGAACTCTACCCCAGCCAAAACCAGCATGGCATGACCTCCAGTTCTAGAGCTGATGTCAAAAATGTCACAGTGACATTATTTTTTCTTTAAAGAAAAACAGGCGTCAGTTTATTCTTATCACAAAGTAATTCAACTTTTGAACTTCCAGGCTGTAAAGAGGGCATCAAAATCACACTGAATTGTGATGTTATTTTGCTTCCTGACCACGTAATTATCTCTTGCATCTGAAATCAAAAGGAAGTATATTTTTGCTTGCTTATGAGATTTGGTTTGGGGTTTGTTTCATTTTAAGTATCTGGCCTTGTGGGTCTATTTACTTCTACCAGCAACCTATCCTTCACTGGTGTCAGCACAGCAAACCTGTAACCTCAGCAAGATGAACTATTGAATACCCTGATCCAACTGTCACCCAGAAGAAAGAGGCCTGAGGGAAAGCTGAGAAATAACATTCAGACTAAAAACTGAAAATGAGCATGTAGTGTTGCAGGCATCAAGTCCCGAAGCACTTTAGGCAAATATTCCTTAAACTACTATTATCAGCTGCTTCAAAAGGATGCAGAAAAACTGATCTACAGGCCCTTAACATGCCCTTCTCCAAGTCCTGATGTACAGTACTTCCCACACACCGCACCCAACTATGCAGATATTGAGCTATATCTGTTTCAAAACTTCAGGAAGAATACATGCACAATTTGTCCTTTTTCTCATTTTTTCTTTCAGGACAAGTCAGTTACAGTGATTATCAACTATCCTGGGCAAAGTTCTGCAAGGTACAGTGCCAAAAGTAAAACTGGCCTCATATTTTTCCTAACACCCACAGGCGTGCCTAACTCTATCCAATGCACATATTAAAAATCAGTTGGTTTTATGTCAGGCTGACAGAGAGATGTTACTCAAAACTGTAGTTCAAATTGTCATTCTCACTTGAACAAACAAGCTTATTCTTGAGAAACTGAGATAGCTATGTCATACAGATGTTGGGTAACAACACTCTCACAACTCTCTTCTTGTGTGTGTTGGTTTTGTTTGTGTTTTGTGGTTGTTTTTTAACCATTAGGAACATCTGCCTGGAAAGTCTTTTACCTTTTGGGTTTGGCTTGAAGCCATCTTGGACTTAATTAAAAAGCACATTCTTCCTCTTTGGATTGATGGGTGAGCAACAAGGAAACTGCTGTATATTTACTGATCTCTCTCCACTTTGTCCTTTACTAATCACAGTTTTAGCTGTGCAGAAGAGAGTCTGCAATGAGTTTAACACTTCTGTCTCCCTTCTCCTATTTATACCTTCTGCCAAGTTTTGCCAAAAAGGAACAACACTGAATGTCTTAGAAACACAGGTTTAAATCTATTCTTCAGTTCTTTCTGTGCAGTCAAGTACTGTGGATAAATTTCATCAGGCTTCATAGTACTTTGAGCTCAATGACATTCTCCACATGTAAATCACATGAAGCTTTGGTCATAGTCTCAAGGCCTTATAAAGCTTTTATAATCAGGTTTTGAACAGCTATATAAAGTCTGGCCAAATCAAGGCTGGATAGAATTCTGGGCAACCTAGTCTGGTGAAAGGTGTCCCTGTCCACAACACACAGGTTGGAACTATATGACCTTTAAGGTCCCTTCCAGCCTCAGCCCTTCTATGATTCTATGCATTGCACAGATCAAAGTTTGTATTTTTTTCCAAAAGTAAATCCATGATTTCCTGTTACACCTCAGGTACATTATGGGATTTGTAAGCAAAGAGAAGGAACGAATTCTGCTCAAAGACAAGACACCGGGAACATTTTTATTAAGGTTTAGTGAGAGCAATCTGGGTGGAATTACCTTTACTTGGGTGGATCAACTAGAAAATGGTAAGTATAATTAAGAAAAAGGGGAAAAAAAAAATCCGCAACAACCAAAAAAAAACCCCAAAACACCAAACCAAAACCAACTCAAACTCTGCAATATACCTGTAATATGGGAATTAAGTTTTTTTCTGGTTCAAAATTAAAATTCATGTGTATTATGTCTAAGTATGGTTCTGGGCACAAAAATCATATTTTCTCAAACACATACCAAAACTCTGACAGTCTACCCCTCAGTTCTTTATATTAACTAAGCTCTTTACTGCAGGCTTTAAATTTGTTCCCACATGTGCAGAAATTATATATTGGAACACACTGACACTGGTAAGAGCAGGTAAAACCCATGCAAGTGTAAACTTCAAAGGAAAGGCAAAAATGTGTTCCAACTGCAGATGTTGATCTACTGATTATCAGCAGTTATGGTGCCTTTGTGTTTTTACAGGAGATGTAACATTTCATTCGGTGGAGCCCTACAACAAAGGTCGCTTATCTGCCCTGCCTTTTGCTGACATACTGCGTGATTACAAAGTTATTATGGCAGACAACGTTCCTGAAAACCCTCTGAAGTATCTGTACCCAGATATTCCCAAAGATAAGGCCTTTGGCAAACACTACAGCTGTCAGCCAAATGAAGGTTGGGCTCCACTTCTCTATTTACCCCTTTCCGCAAGGCAGCTGCAAAGTCAAGAGGCAATTTGAGGAATGTGGGGAGAAGAGGAAGAAAACAAATTAAGATGCCTCATTTAACAGTCACTTCAAAACAACTGTTTTAACACGTGCCTGTCATTTAGACAGCTTCATTTTGCAAATATGGTCTTAGAGGTCACAGTAGAGGTGATAACAACATTTAAAAGAAGCTAAGAAACAGATCTTAGGGTAGATAAAGACAAAAAAAGGTGGTTTTTTTTTCTGATGCATTACAAAATTCATTGCTCAGGTGTTCAAAGGCGAGGAAACTGAAAAGTCATTCTGCCTACTGTCTTCACAGTTATATTATACTGTTGAATGCTGCCTCTTTAATTTCAAGAAAATTCCGTATTCTCCAAACAGCTTGGAAGACCAACTTTAGTCCATTTCATTCAGCAGAACTAGGCAAAGGTCACTTATTTGCACTGCCTTTTGCAGATATACTGCACAATTACAAAGTTATTTTGGCAGACAATGTTCCTGAAAACCCCTGGCAATCGCACTGGAAAATGCAAAAAGGCTAGAAAAGAATGCTTCAAATACATTCAGGCCCATGCTCTCTTTGTCCAAGTCAGATAATTTTTAGATCGAACTCATTATCTCTCAAAAAAGCCCTCAAACCCATAATTTTTTAATAGATAGTACCTATTCTTCTCAACTTTCAGTATCAAAGGTTACAATTCCATTTGAACTCAAATTCCTACACAACTCAAAAATATTTGGAGGCTACAATTTCCCCCCACCCTTCATTTTAATTCAGTGGACTTTGCCTAGTGCTCCAATCCACTAAAATTTTGTGTATATGCTTAAGTTCATGCAAAAGACGTTGCTGAAGCTGTACCTGTAGAGATAGAGCTCCACACAAGCACTTGCAGAACTGAAATCTAGAGGCTCAGAGTAACAAGTTTACAGAGTTATTCCATATTTGCTTTTGAAGGCCTAACGAGATCTTTTATCAGTTGCGGTATCATATTCTGAGATGGTGATTCATATCAAGGTAGCACAGACAATTACGTGACTAAGACCCAAAGTCAAGGACTAATTTCAGGAATTCCCCTCACTTTTATGGCTGTTTACTTGTCTACAGTCCTTAAGGCAAATAATCTATTTCAAATAAATAATAAAATTACTAGATAATATTTAATTTCTCTAATATTTATTTTAGTCTCAAAGCCCTCAGATGGAGGAGTCAAAGGTTATGTTCCTTCTGTATTTATCCCAGTCTCCAAAATGTAAGTATCCTTACAGATGTATTATACTTCAACTGATATTTTTTAATTTACATCCCATTTCAGAATTTTCCCTGCCTCCCTTCCCCGAAGTATTTGAAAATAGTTTGGTATAGAACTACATAGTGTGTTTTTATTTGGCCAGGGACTGCTAAACATAAGAAAAGGAAATAAAGAACTTCACCTGTACAGTGCTTTTCCCATTTATGTGGCAAAACATTTGTAAAAATTGAATGCAGATTGTATGGCACTCTGATCTACTTATCTTTCACTGTCTCCTTTTTCTCTCCAGCAACTGATACTAGGGACAAGGGGAAAAAGGATAAACCTGACTCTATCTCCTACATTTTTAAGTGTATAGCGGTGTTGGCATGTGCTTACAGGGCCACCAGCAAGCTCAAGTACAGGCCTAACTAACTTAAAAAACATTGACCATGCTCCATTGATATGTATGAAGGTAGAGGGATTACTTATCTAAAATTATTTTTTTTATATTTTGTTTTTTTCTTGTTTTTTTTTTTTGTTAGCTTAAATGATCCTACAGAACCACACTCTCCATCAGATCTTCTTCCAATGTCTCCAAGCGTTTATGCTGTGCTGAGAGAACACCTGAGTCCCACAGCCATCGAAACTGCCGTAAGTTGTAAACTTTTCCACTCCTAAGTTAGTACTGAGCGAACAGGATACGCAGAGCGAGGTGCTGGTTACAAAAAGGCTGCTTGTACAATGATAAAAGAATCACAGCTCTTTCATCACTTGCTGTGTTACTCTGAAACAATGGTGCAGACGTTTCCTATTCTCAACAGCACAGGATCCTGCAAGTACCTTGGCAGCCCTGTGCTGCCTGGAACTGCCTGACACACTGGCCAAGGAACCCTGACTATCATAACACAAAGATCCCAGAGTTCTTGCACGAACAAAGGCTTTGCAAATAAAACTAATATTAACTAAGTATATAGAAAGATTGGGCAAATACTATTTGAACATCATCTTTAAAAAATTTCCTCCTTTACTCACTGACTAGAAATTTTGTTCTGAACCATCATGGCTTAGAGTTCTTAGAATTCTGATAGTTACCCAGCTGGGGATTTGCCCAACAGACTTCTCTCAGGAAATGCAGCAGTGGTTTAGGCTTTAGCAGCTTCAAAAGAAAATTTCCTTTTTTAATACTAGCTCTTAAGTTTTCTGAATGCTCAGTGATTTATGATCTTAAAATATAGTTATGTATTTAAAAGCCTGCCAACTCTGCATCATATGCACCTCTGTAAAACACTCCTCCTCACCCATAAACAGAACAAAACTAAACCAGAATCATGACTGTTGATGACTGGAAGCACAGTTAAGCTTTATATACAAATACATGAGTTCTTTAATATACATCAAGTTGATGATCAGTTCAGGAGCAAAAGGTCTTCTTTTTCTTCTTCACTTTTTTCTCTAATAGCACTTGTGACAAACTAGTTCTTCAGCTGAAAATGAAATAACCAGCCTGAATTAAAATTCTGGGTTCTAACCTACTACATCCAATCCAAGACATGGCCCCACTCATTTTTGTGTTGGTGTATACATATGAAAACTGTTCTGACCTTCTAAAACTGCACTTGTGAACTACCTAAGACTCTGCATTTCCCAAAGTTTTGGTAGTGTAACATATTTGGCTTCACTTTCGTTTAACATCAGCCTCCAAACATGTTTGGTTTCTTCTAGCACGCACAGTAAATCGCAAAAACAGCTCTGTTCCGAGCTTCAAAACAATGGCCATTGCCGTCTTTTAGGGTCTTCACCAAACAAAATGAATGTGTTTGGTGGCAAATGGAAGAGTTAAACATAATCATGTTGTGGTTTTTAAAAGTACTAGGACAAGTGGTTCGGTACTGCTAGATAGTAGGTGATATTTCTGTAACATCTTAGTAGAAAAGTTTTCAAATCCTGCCAGAAACTGCATGAGAAAAATAGTTTTAGAAGATTTTTAAAGAATTCCTTGCTTTTTCCATTCTATTTACTTTGCTAAATGGAAACAAGGAAAATATGGAGGATTTTTCTTTATCACTCCAAATTCACACAACAATCTACCCTGGTGAAGAGCTGGCTAAGTACAGTAAGCAGAAAATCTGCATTATTAAAGCAATACTTTTTCTCCAATGCCAATAAAAAAACCACTGTGTGAGATACAGAAAACAAAAGTGAAATCTGCAGCAGGACAAAATATCTTACAACTCAGTTGCAACTCTTTCCCATGCAGTGTTTTCTAATGAGCGCTCCTATATTCTGTGAAGAACTAGGAACAGGATCCTCAGATCCTTATCAGTTTGTGTTGCACTGTCTAAGTGACACTGTAGTTACTTTGAGCCAGAGACAGTTTTATCTGCAGTTACTTTTGAATGAACAGCTGCAAGTGCCATGAGATTAATCTTTTCCTTCTTTTTTTCTAGCTGAGTTCTCCTTACTCAACTGACTGAAGTTCATATGTTGGAAAAAATAGCAATCATGTGAACACTGGATGGGTTAAAGATGCCTTAATTTTTTTACAATCATCTTTGTACATCAACTTTTCCTGGAAACTATTATGTTATTCTTAGGCCTCTTTCTGTTATCAATCAACATGTAAATAAGGAATTTTCTCCCTAGGGATTCAAATAGCTTTCTGCAAGCCAGATTTGCTGTTCTCAGTGATAAAAGGCCAAATCCTTTCTTATTTGGAAGTCATTTGACTGCAGTGAGGTCCCAGCAGAGACAAATTTTACTTGCAGAATTAACTAACATTCATAGAATTGCTGTAAATATGAGGACAGAAGAACAAAATGTTCTGCTTCTGAAAACAGCACATAAAGATAACTGAAGATATTAATGTGTTTGGAGAAATTAGGACTTATTATGTTAAATACTTTTTGTTTAATCATAATCTTGCACACCACTGGTTTAGATTCTATTTCAAAGCAAAGATTCTCATTCCCCTGAGTTCAAGTGTCTCAGAGGTGTTTGGGACATTTTTCTCAAAAGAAGAAGAACCTTCAGCATAGATTTTTATCTGACACCACAGCAGAAGTTGCGGAAGACAGGTAAGCATGGCAGGGAGGAGAAGGGAGTTCCAGAAAGGAAGCAGACACAAAATTTGTGGTATCAAAAAGTCTGTCTCCATTTTGCCACTGGAAGACAGAGTTAGTGAAACTTTTCCCCCTCACAGAGTAGTTGCAGGAGTAAATCTGTTTAGGCAAGGAGACTTCAGATAGTACAGCATGTACGATAAAAAAGCCTACAAATAAAAAAATCCTGATCAGATGCAGTTTGGATACTAACTGGTAAATGCCAAGTGGGAAGCACAGTTTTAAAAAACTGAAGAGCTGCAATTGCCAACCACTGGGAAAATTGTGCTGCGTGGCAGATTATTACGTGTCAGTCAGAGGCTCATTTAATAAACGGAATAACTAGCTTTTGTATAAATGGTAAATTGCCCTTCTAAAATACTCTTTTTTTTTTTTTTTTCAGGCACTGGTTTAGTGCTGGGTTTGGGTTGTTTGGTCTTATTGCTTTTTGTTTTTTTCTCTCAGTATTCTCCCTAAAATCTGTGTTAATAGAATAATAAAGAGGCAATTCCAAGGACACATATGCCGGCTCAATCAAGATTTAAGTCTTATCCACAGAGTACATGGTTAATGCATGCAAAGTTCTTACAACACAAGCCCTTGAACGTTTGCACCTTACTGTTTTCTTGAGTAGGTACAAATTACACATCTGAGATGAAAATGTAACCTCCTTGAATCAGTAAGACGTGCATTTTACTTTCATTTCTCCTTTTTTACTCACTCCTTTCACCCCTACTACTTATGTTAGTTGAAAGCAAGTGAACGGAAACAGAGTAACGAGCTATTTCTGTGAGACGTGGGAATAGATTTCAAAAAACCCAAACACATCTCTGTTCATTCACCTGAGTGACTTAAAGTGAGCTGCACATCAGAAGTCATTTTTCTCTCAGAAAGTATCATGTATAAATAATTTTACAAAACAACAAGAGCAATTCTGTATGTATTTTGGTAACATCTGTAACTTATATAACCAGCATGAATAAAACCAGATTTTGGCTTTAAGCTGCATACCTAGACCTCTGTGGAATTTAAGGCACACAAAAACAGTCTTGCTGCCTTTTTATTGATCTCAAGTCTGAACTACAAGCAGTAACACAGGTATCTAGAGCAGCAAACATAACTTCACCTTGCATCAGCTATTGCAGGCCTTTTTATGCTAACCTCTTCTCACAGTCTTAATACAAACTAAATGGGGGATGCCCTACATTTTTGATCTCATGAGAAGTACTGTACAAAGGGACCAGACATGACAGGTGAAGCAGTCTCCTCTCCCCTTCTTCCCTGCTCCCCAAGCAATGCAATCCCTCAAGACTCTCAGGTATTAACTTCAGCATGATATAACTGGCATTACTGAGCAGCACTATGGATCGAGTTTTCGCATTATGGTTTCTACTATTGCTCTAAAACAGATTTTGCAAGGAGTAGGTTTAACATGTCATTGAAAGGTGTATGACTTTAAATCATTTCACTGCCTTAAAGTAACATTGGAGTAACTTTCTGTAAGGTGAATATACATAGCCCAAGCCTACTTCCATTGAAAAAAGTGAGAATTTTGTCCTGACGCAACTACAGGTAAGAATAGAGTTCTCCAGTATAATGATGTTTAATAATAATGGCCAGTTTTCACGAGCGAGCGAGGGCCTCGCCGGTGGAGCACCTGGTGGTCTAGTGGTTAAGGGCACGGCGCTGTCACCGCCGAGACCCGGGTTCGATTCCCGGTCCGGGATACTCCCCGGGTAGATGGAGCTCGGTAGCCCTTAAAAAGGCAATCCATCCACGTCCTAAGGACCTCGCTGCCACCGTCCAAGCTCGCTTGGCCCCGGCAGATGAACCTTAGGATTAAAGGGTGGGCTCAGTTCCGCGCACACTGTGTCTCACCTAAAAAATCCAATGCGCAGGCTGGAAGGTGTAAAGACCTTCCCCGGATCTTCGCTCGCGAAAACTGGCCATAATGATGTGGAAGGGAGCAAACACACAAAGGGATGCCTCAGACACTACCAGAAGAAACAAAATATCCACTTTTAGGTACTTTTACTAACTGTGTTTATGTTTTCGCTAGGTTTTGCAGCAGCAAATTAAAAAATAACGTGGCTGCTCTATTCTTTGTGTCTTGGTGCATCACTATGACAATATCAATTAAAAATCTGGAAAAAAAGAGTGAAAACTGTCAGTTACCTTCTGCTACCGCTTTTATTTACAGCCCTGTTTATATATCCCGTGCTCCACAGCGTTTTATGCCACAAAGTTTACCAAACAGACCTTCTAATTCCTTGTTTCTTTCACGGAGTAACAACTTGAGTAACTACTCCATCTGAGGAAGGGGCGGGGACACAAAGGATACCGAAACAGATCCAAAGTACCCTGGAGACCCTGGATTTTATTATCCCGGTCTTTGCTGACACTTCACAAAGGAGACAAAACCCGCCCCAGACCCTGTGTGCCCAAAGCGGCAGCAACAGAGCCGCTATTCCTGTTCGCTGTTCTATTCCTAGTGAACAGGACCTGCAAGAAAAGCGGGATAAGGGAAAGGGACGCTCAGCCGCCCGAAGCGGCGTTCTCGGGCGTAATGCGGGTCGCAGCGCACGGACCGACAACAGCGGCTGTGTGCACGCCCGCCCTCAGCCCCGGCTGCCCTTCCTCCCTCTCCCCAGGACGGCCCGTTTCGGTTTCGCTTTCCCTTCCCCTCAGCCGGGGCCGCTCCAGCGACTTTCCCAGAAATCACGTGGAGCGGCTGTTCCCGCGGCGAGTCGTCCCCTCCCGCCGCCGCGCCTGCGCACTGCGCGTCCCGGGGCGTCCCGAGGCAGCCGGAGCCGGTCTGGGCGCTGGGAAGGGCTCCGGGAGCAGCGGGACCCGCAGGTGAGGGGGGCTGCCTTCGGGCCTCGAGGGGCGGTGCGGCGAATGCCCGCGGCAGCTGGAGCTGTCGCTCCTTCAGACTGCACCCCCTGCCTTTGGCTCGACCACCGAGCTTCGCGCGTCGGTGCCTTCCCTCCCGTGGCAGCGGGAGCCGTCTCCTAACGGTGTTCATTCCTGACAGGGACACCCGTCAGGGCATCCACCCGCCTCCCGGGCGGCAGCGCTGCTCTTCCATCACCGCGTGCATCTGCTCGCTCCCAGATCCTGCTCCCTGAACGCCTTTTGGCTCCTTCCTGACAGCTGCACCTGCTCCTCTCCAGACTCCTAACGCCGCCTGCTCGGGACCCCTCAGGAGCGCTCCCCGTGCCCGGCTCGGTGCTCTCTCCCTGGTTCCTGCTCTTCGTGCCGTGGCCGCATCGCCGGGCAGCCTCTGCCCAACAGGTGCGGTACTCAGGGGTACCCCAGGGGCGGGGAAGACACGGGGAGAGAGCGCTGTCCTTCCCCCCGGGAGCCGTGCGAGGTGCCGGCGGCAGGACGGGCTGCCCGCCGCCCTTTGCTCCCGAACTGCGCCGCGTGGTCCGGCCGAGATTCCCCGGGAATGACAGCAAAGCAGGTAGAGGGTGGCCGGGAGGGAGCCCTGGGGTGCATCGGGAAGACTGTGTCCGGCGGGTCGAGTGTGGTGATTCTCACCCCCGCCCTCTATTCAGCCCTAGTGAGGCACATCTGGAGCCCTGTGTCCAGCTCGGGGCTCCTCGGTACTAGAAAGATAAGGAGCTACTGGAGAAGGTCCAGTGGAGGCCACAAAGATGATGAAGGGTGTGGAGCATCCCTCTTACGAGGAGAGACTATAGGAGCTGGCCCTGTTAAGTCTAGAGAAGGGAAAACTGAGAGGGGATCTCATTAAATATCTCAAAGTTGGTTGCCAAGAGGATGGTGCCAGACTCTTATTGCTGGTGCCCAGCAACAGGATGAGGAGCAATGGCCATAAGTTAAAACAGAAGTTTTACTTCACCATGAGGAAGACCTTATTTACACTGAGGGTGGCAGAGCAATGGAACAGGCTGCTCAGGGAGCGTCTGGAGTCTCCTTCTCTGAGACATTCAGAAACCACCTGGACACCTTGTAGTGTCACCTGCTCCAGGTGACCTTGCCTTGGTAGGGGGATTGGACTGGATGATCTCCAGAGGTCTCTTATTTACCCCTAATAATTCTGTGATTCTCTGAGTCTGAGCTGAGCTGTGGAAAACACCCTCAAGCACAGTTGTTACGAGGCACACAGACCCACAGAGCTGCAAATCCATCACCCATTTAGGGGCTTCCAGCAGGGCTCCTTTTCTCCAGACACATCTGTGGGCTGTGATCATATTGCACTTCCCTTGAGTAGAACAAGAGGGGCTGCCTGTCCTACACCACCTCACTTGTCAGTTTGTCAGTGGCAGGCTGTGCCCTGTGCCCCACTGCGGGTGTCTCTGATGCCTTCTCTACGAAAAGGCGTTGACTTGCCCCTTTGATGTGTCCCTGCTTGCATCCCCAAGGGTCACATTTTTTGCCTTATTACATTGCTCTGTAACTACCTCCTTGAATGGTTCTCTGCCACTCGCAGGTACTTTCCCAGGCTGGTTGTTTTAAGACACAGGAAGATTGGAGTACATCTTCACTTAACCATTAGGGAAAGCAGCAGATGAACTTCATGAATTTAGGCAAATTCTTTCCTCAGCAATGTCGCATTTAACTGTTGGCTGTGGTGCAGCTACAGCACATTAAAATGCTGTGTTACCTGTAATCTGAATAGCATGCACATCAAAACCCTCAAAGCCTCACTTAAAACATAATAGCATTTTTAACTCTCATTTGCTTCTCACACATAGCATATGGCACTCAGCATCTGGGAGAACCAGCATACAAACACTAACAGATTTAGCAGGAAAGCACATAAAAGATAGTCCTTCACCCTGATGGTGCTCTGTTCTTTGGATAGGTCCTATCACCTTTGTTTTAAAGGTTGTGTATGTGAGTGGATTTGCATCTCACCATGCATGTTCTCAGCCTGTACTATTCCTTGGACATATCTTTATGTGCCATTTCCACTAGAACATGATAACCTGCAGCCTAATGAGAAGACTAACTGATTTGCTGCTAGAAACCAAATGTCACAATATAAAGCCACTCTGTCATAAAAGTGTTATGACTGAGAGAAGCCATGCTGTACAATATTAGTTCATTTAAGTACCTTGTATCTGCTGAACAGATTACTTGAATTTAGCCTGACAGTGTGGCCATGAGAACTAAAGCATATAGCAGAAAAAAACATCTTTCCAGTACTTCTCCATTTGAAGTGACCTGAGATCTAGTCCATTTTCAGAGGAGGTAAGTGGGGACACAAGCAGCAAGCGAAAATGAGTGCCTAGAGGGTTCTCTGATTTTTCACTCATGCTCTTAGTGATGAGGACTATCAACAGAAGGTGAAACTCCACATGCTGAATCTCAGTCATGCAGAGTACAAATTTCAAACACATACATCCTCATTCTCGTATTCCTGCTAAGCAAGAGAACAGTAATGCAAACCATGCCCTAAATGCCATGAAAAGGCATTCAGAGATAAAAAAACCAAAAAGCACATTTTCATGGGAAAAGGTGATTCCAGCTTGGAGTTATTTTTCAGGAAACAGTGCACTGTCTTAATTTGTAAATTCCATTTTTTTTTTAAATTTAAATAAGCAGCCCAAAAGAAATTGTATTGTGTTTTAAGGACTAGCATCTAGAACTGTTACAGCTGAAAATAAAATACTTTTGTTTGACGGAAACACTTTTCCTTCCTACTCCTCTTTCTGGTTTAACCCCAGCCAGCAACTGTGTGGAGCTACCTCACAGCTGCTCGCTCACTTCCCCCTCCTCCCTATGCAGTGGGATGGGGAGAGAATCAGAAGGGTAAAAGGGAGAAAACTTGTGGGTTGAGATAAAGACAGTTTAGCAGGTAAAGCAGAAGTTGTGTACAGAAGTGAAACAAACCAAGGAGTTAATTCACTGACTTCCATGTGCAGGAAGGTGTTCAGCCATTCCAGAAAAGCTGGGCTCCATCACTCCTAATGGTTACTTGGGAAGACAAACACCATCATGCAACGTGTACCTCCCTTCCTTCCTTCTTCTCCCAACTTTATATACTGAGCGTGATGCCATATGGTGTGAAATATCCCTGTGGTCAGCTGGTGTCAGCTGTCCAGCTGTGTCCTCTCCCAAATTCTTGTGCACCCCCAACCTCCTCACTGGTGGGCTGAGGAGCAGAAAAGGGCTTGACTGTGTGTAAGCACTGCTCAGCAATAACAAAAACATCCCTGTTTTACCAACACTCTTTCCAGCAGAAATCCAAAACACAGCACCACACTGGCTAATGTGAAAAAAATTAGCCTTATCCCAGCCAAAAGCAGCACATCCTCCAATTTTATCGATGTTCTTGAAAACTGATGTTATTTTTCACCAGCTCAGTCCAACTACTACTTAAACATTTACACTGTTTTTTTTGTCACCCCTTCCTCAGGATGACGACTCAGTGGTATCAGCTACAGCAACTCGATTCCAAGTTTTTGGAGCAAGTTCACCAGCTATACGATGACAGCTTTCCCATGGAGATCAGGCAGTACCTGGCACAGTGGCTGGAGAACCAGGATTGGTAAGCTTAGAAAAAAGCCTTTGGGTTGTGTGATAAGCAATGTTTTCATGCATGCAGTTACAGGCAGCAGCAGAATGCTGGTGAAGCAAGCTGTTTAGGTGAACTTTTGCTGGTAGGATGCATTGCTGTGTAGGTGCTGCAGCCTGTGTTCCTGCCCCTCTTCAGGGCTTTCTAGAGGGGCCTGACAGCTGGAGTAAAACTGTCCTAGAGCTCATATTGCTCTCATTTGGTCTAAAACAAAAGCACCTGTTTTAAGACCAATCAGTTTCTGTCTCAGTAGATCAGTCTCTCGCTGTTCAAAGACTTTGAACTTCTGACAAGATTTTTGTGGAGTGTCTTTGCTTTGAAGGGTAGTACACCATGCACATGCATCAGGTTCACTTTTAGATTCTTGATGTGCATGAAGTGAGCAAATGGATTTGCACACAATGTGGCAAGAATAATACAGAGAAAACCAACATTTCTGTATTGAGGAAAGTAAAGTCAAAGTTAAGAGAATGAAACTGGCTTACATTGGAAAGTAATTCGTACTGCTTGCATATTCTAGAACTGTAGTTGGGGATTAAAAATA